GGGGCCTCCTGCTGCCTCTTGGGGCCTCCTGGGGCCACTTCCTGTGGCCTCTTGGGGCCTCCTGGGGCCTCGCGTGGCCTCCTGGGGCCTCCTGGGGCCTCCTGGGGAGGATTCGTGCCCCAGGAGAAGAGACCCAGTCTTTAGGGACAGACGTAAACTAAACATTGCGGATTGGAGCCACCCGAGAAGGGCAATATTTAGGAACACACGTAAAACAACAAGGACTCGTGCCCCAGGGGAGGTCCAATCTATAGGAACAGACGTAAAACATCTAGGATTGGATACACTGGAGAAGGACAATATATATATATATACTTTATATATAGATATACATATACATATAAGCATACATACATGTGTATATATATATATATATATATATACTAGAACCACGCGCGCGCTTCGCGCGCGCTTAGGTTCTGTCGAGTCACAGACCCAGGAATCGTTGCGAGAAGAAATTGGTGACGCGAAGCGTCTTGGGGGCGTCCGTGGACGTCTGGGGTCTCCTGGGGCCTCTTGAGGGGCCTCCTTGGGGCCTTCTTGGGCTCCATCTGGAAGCCAAGATGGATGCAACAAGAGGGTGCTTGGGCTCTCCGTGAGCTATCCTCTGGTTTTCATTCCCCTGGAGAGGAGAAGGAGGAGGAGGAGGAGGAGGAGGAGGAGGATGAGAAGGAGGAGGAGGAGGAAGATGCAGAGGAGGGAGGAGGAGGAAGGAGAGGAGATGTTGGGGCGCTCTTGGGGCCCTCTTGGGCTCTCTTGGGGCTCGTCGGGGCCCTCGTGGGGCCACCTTGGGCTCCTCTCGGAGCTCCAAGAGGAGCCCACAGAGGGGCCCAACATCGGTCACGCGAGAGCTCTTTCGCGTGACCGATGTTGGGGCCCTCTTGGGGCCCTATTGGGCCTCCTTGGGCCCTCTTGGGGTCTCGACGGGGCCCTCGTGGGGCCATCTTGGGCTCCTCTCGGAGCACCAAGAGGAGCCCAAAGAGGGGGCCCAACATCGGTCACGCGAGAGCTCTTCCGCGTGACCGATGTTGGGGCCATCTTGGGGTTCCTTGGGCCTCCTTGGGCCCACGTGGGGCTCCCTCGGGGCCCTCGTGGGGCCATCTTGGGCCCCTCTTGGAGCTCCAAGAGGAGCCCAAAGAGGGGCTCAACATCGGTCACGCGAGGGCTCTTCCGCGTGACCTATGCTGGGGCTCTCTTGGGTCCCTCTTGGGCCTGCTTGGGTCCTCTTGGGGTCTCGTCGGGGCCCTCGTGGGGCCATCTTTGGCTCCTCTCGGAGCTCCAAGAGGAGCCCACAGAGGGGCCCAACATCGGTCACGCGAGAGCTCTTCCGCGTGACCGATGTTGGGGCTCTCTTGGGGCTCTCTTGGGTCCCTCTTGGGCCTCCTTGGGCCCACGTGGGGTTCCCTCGGGGCGCCCTCTTGGGCCTGTCTTGGGGCCCTCTTGGGCCATCTTGGGCGCCTCTTGGGCCGTCTTGGGGCCCTCTTGGGCTGTCCTGGGGCCCTCTTGGAAGCTTCTTGGGCCGTCTTGGGGCGGTCTTGGGCGCCTCTTGGGCCGTCCTGTAACGTCGGAAAGCCCAAAAGACAACTTTGTTGAAAATGTACGTTTTACGAAGGGAATGGGCCAATTTTTGCGTCTAGGGGCCCTCTTGGGACGCATGTTGGAGGCTTCTTGGGGCCTCTTGGGGGCGTCCTTGGACGTCTGGGGTCTCCTGGGGCCTCTTGAGGGGCCTCCTGGGGGCCTCCTGGCGGCCTCTTGGGGCGGAAGGCTCGAGCTTGCGGTTCGTGGTCCCCCTCTGGGCCCCCTCTTGGGCCCGTCTTGGGGCCCTCTTGGGCCATCTTGGGCGCCTCTTGGGCCGTCTTGGGGCCCTCTTGGGCTGTCCTGGGGCCCTCTGGGAAACTTCTTGGGCCGTCTTGGGGCGGTCTTGGGCGCCTCTTGGGCCGTCCTGTAACGTCGGAAAGCCCAAAAGGCGACTTTGTTAAAAATGTACGTTTTACGAAGGGAATGGGCCAATTCTTGCGTCTAGGGGCCCTCTTGGGACGCATGTTGGAGGCTTCTTGGAGCCTCTTGGGGGCGTCCTTGGACGTCTGGGGTCTCCTGGGGCCTCTTGAGGGGCCTCCTGGGGGCCTCCTGGCGGCCTCTTGGGGCGGAAGGCTCGAGCTTGCGGTTCGTGGTCCCCCTCTGGGCCCCCTCTTGGGCCCGTCTTGGGGCCCTCTTGGGCCATCTTGGGCGCCTCTTGGGCCGTCTTGGGGCCCTCTTGGGCTGTCCTGGGGCCCTCTGGGAAGCTTCTTGGGCCGTCTTGGGGCGGTCTTGGGCGCCTCTTGGGCCGTCCTGTAACGTCGGAAAGCCCAAAAGACAATTTTGTTGAAAATGTACGTTTTACGAAGGGAATGGGCCAATTTTTGCGTCTAGGGGCCCTCTTGGGACGCATGTTGGAGGCTTCTTGGGGCCTCTTGGGGGCGTCCTTGGACGTCTGGAGGCCATCTTCAGCATCTCGGAGCCCTCTTGGAGGCCTCTTGGAAGTTTCTTGGGCCGTCTTGGGCGCTTCTTGGGCCGTCTTGTCTGACTGGGGAGGCCTCCGGCAAGCCCCGACGAGCCTCCGGGCCCCCCGGGGCGCACATTTGTGGTCGAGGTCCCGGCCCCGGGCCCCCGGACCCGGTGCGCCGTTATATGTATATGTGTGGACGCCCCTATAGGAGCATACGTAAAACACATGGGATTGGAGCCGCGTCTGTGGCCTTCTGAGGCCTCCTCCCCCACCTCGGGCCTCTCGGTGCCTCCTGTTGCCTTCCGGGGCCTCCTGGTGCCTCCTGGCGTTTCCTGTGGCCTCCTGGGGCCTCCTGTGACCTCCTGAGGCCTCCTGGAGCATCCTGGAGCCTCCTGGAGGCTCTTGGGACATCCTGTGGCCTCTTAAGTCCTGTAACCTCCTAATGCCTCCTGGGACCTCCTGTGGCCTCCTGTGGGGCCCTGGAGCTCACTAGAGCCTCCTGTGGCATCCTGGGGAGAATATGTGCCCACGAGTCTGGCCACCAAAACAAGCAAATCGATCGAGACATCCTCAAAATCGGGCCCCTCTTGGGGCGAAAATGAGCGCCTCGCTCGAGATATCCTCCAAATCTGCTCCGAAAGCAGAGAATGCTGGGGCCCGAAACAGGCAAACCGCTCGAGACATTCCCGCCATTTTGGCGCGAACGGAGGCCGTGAGATACCCCTGGCGGCACCCCCTTGGGGGTGCTGAAACCCGTGCCTCGCTCGAGACATCCTCAGAATTTGCTCCGCCGTCGTCATCATCATCATCATCATCATCATCATCATCATCATCATCATCATCATCATCATCATCATCATCGTCATCGTCATCGTCATCGTCATCATCATCATCATCATCACCACCACCACCACCACCACCACCGTCGTCGTCGTCGTCGTCGTCGTCGTCGTCGTCGTCGTCGTCGTCGTCGTCGTCGTCCTCTTCGTCCTCATCATCATCATCATCGTCATCATCATCATCATCATCATCATCATCATCATCGCATCATCACAGCATCACATCATCATCATCATCATCATCATCAGCATCGTCATCATCATCATCATCATCATCATCATCATCATCATCATCATCATGATCATCACCATCATCATCATCAGCATCATCATCAGCAGCAGCATCAGCATCAGCATCATCATCATCATCATCATCATCATCATCATCATCATATCATCGCATCATCACATCATCACATCATCATCATTAGCATCATCATAATCATCATCATCATCACCATCATCATAAGTATCATAAGCATCCTCATCATCAGCATCATTAGCATTATCATCATCGGCATCATTAGCATCATCAGCATCCTCATCAGCATCACCATCATCATCAGCATCATCACTCAGCATCATCATCATCATCATCATCGTCATCATCACCAGCATCAGCATCAGCACTAGCATCAGTATCAGCATCATCTCCACCATCATCACCACAGCATAACATAAGATAATATACCATAACGTAACAGAATGCAACATAAAATACCATAGCAGATCATCAGGGGTAGGAGGAGAGGAAAGGAGGAAGTTTGGGGGAGGTCCGCGCGGTCACAGTAACGACAAGAACTCCACCCTTTCGATATGGGAAATAACATAACATAACATGACATAACCAACATGAACATGAGGAGGGGGGAGGAGGGAGGAGGTGACTCTCGGCGCGGTCGGAGTAATAACAAGAACCCCATCCTTTGGATATAGGGAACAAGAAAACCCATCCTTTGGAAATGGTGAATAGCATACCATACCATAACATAACATGATGAGGAGGAGGGAAGGGTGTCTGGTGGGAGTTGGCGCGGTCGGAGTAATAACAAGAACCCCATCCGTTGGATGGGGAACAACAAGAACCCCATCTTAGGATATGGGAGCAATAACGATCGAAACACCATACACACGACAACTAGACGTCGCCTACGTCCAAGGACACGCTAACGGCGATGTTGGTGAACGGTGGTGTTGGGAATATGGTTTTTGCGGCACCTAAGTCGCGCAGAAGAAATTGTAGGAAACTGTAAACCACACTTGCCTACATTTCAATTACGCGAATGTCTCGAGCCAGAACGACTCAGTGAATTGCATAAAACCACGAACCACGCTGTTCTGCAATTGGTTTGGCCACGAGCTAATCCCACCTACAATACCGAAGCCTACATCGCCATTACCTATATCGCCGTTAGCGCGTCTACTTTACATTGGAATGGCAGCGTGGGCTGCCGCATGCCGCGACGAGGCGATCCCGTCGAACGTCATTGCGCAGTGCCCCACGATTCTTCTGGATAGCTAGCGAACGAGCCCTCACGAGTGGCATGATTCTTCTTGCCCTCATCACCCCCCTGTGGCATCCTCCCTCCCAACCTGCCATGATGGGGAACTCTACAGCCAAAAATGGAAGCGGAACCGGTCTGCATGGGACAAGAGGGAGAACGTGACATCCGCACCTGGTGCGCACGAACTACCACGTCGAAATCGTGCTTCTTGAGGAAACTGCTGACAATGTCCGGCCCTGTTGGCAGGGCATGCGCGCGAGAAGTACAAGAAATGCTGATCGTGCTGCAGCGTGTACGGCCTTATTCCAGGCAAAGCTTACCAAAACGGACACCATTTTTGCCCCCGTCCGCTGGGCCTTCTGATATCGTTCTGGGAACTTCCCGTCCAACCTCTGAGTTCCCACCGCTCCCCCAACTGACCCGTAGCTTTCTCGCTCGACCCTTGCCCCACACAAACCCCCACGATCATGTACTCACGAAGCTGTGCTGCAGGGCAGAATCTCGGGCACCTGCGAGAAGCCCTACTGTTAAGATGTGCCAAGAACCTGCACGGACAGTGGAAGAAAGCAGGGAAGATAAAGTCAGTAGCGAATTGGTCGTGAACAATGTGCAGCCACTACACGCGAGGGCTCTGTCAGCTGAACCTCCCCCTCCGCACACCCTCGTAGAAGACGCATGTGTGTCGCACTGGCTGGTGGCTGCCATGAGTCTGCCTGCCTTATCCTCATCGTCCTCATCCATGTCCGATCCCCTATCCTTCTAACTCTGCACTGCTGTTCTGAGCAGCCCGTCTGCGTGCCAAGAACCCTGCAAAGGTTCCCCCGTGCTTCCAAGAAAAGATCCAGACGCAGCCTCTGAAATCAAGAGTGTAGTCGCCTTCAGACTTAGTCTCAGGTCTAGGCGCCACGAACATCAGTAGCGAGAGCTACCAATACTTCCATGTTCCTCCTCCTCCTTTGTCGCAAGGGGCCGCAAACGTGCGTACGATAACTCTGGGAGCAGCGGACGGTTCGCAGCGCATGCTCGTGCGGGCACTGCACACAGCCTCCAACAGCAGAAAGTCAACGAGCTGGGTCGTCTTTGGCCCCCCCTGCGATCGACCACGTCTCGCTCTCACCGCGCGAGCCGAAGAACTTAGAGCCGCGTCTGGGCCCAAAGCGGTTAGCATGAAAGAAACAGGCCCTGAGGAGCACGGGTCCTCAGCACGGGGCTCTCCCCGGGACGGGTTCTTCATCTTGCGCTTTTGTTCGACGGCCCCAGAGTCCGTGGAGGTCCCAGGGAACCAAAAAACAGCGAACAACCTCAGCAGGGGGAGGAGGACAAGGGTGAAGGGGGGGAGGGGAGGAGGGGGATAACAAGGACATCATCAGCATCAATATCAGAATCACCACCACCACCACCACCACCACCATCATCATCATCATCATCATCATCATCATCATCATCATCATCATCATCATCATCATCGTCAGCATCATCATCAGCATCAGCATCATCATGATCATTATCATCATCATCATGATCATCATCATCACAATCATCACCATCAGCATCATCATCAGCAGCATCATCAGCATCATCATCATCTCATCATCCTCCTTCTCCTCCTCCTCCTGCTCATCATCACCATCATCGTCATCAGCATCATCATCATCCTCAGCACTTATCATCGTCATCATCATCATAATCGTCGTCATCGTCATCGCCATCACCACCAACATCAGCATCAGCATCAGCATCAGCATCAGCATCAGCATCAGCATCATCATCCTCATCATCATCATCACCATCATCATCAGCATCATCATCATTATCGTCGTCGTCATCATCATCAGCATCATCATCGTAATCATCGTCATCAGCATCACCATCATCACCATCATTAGCATCAGCATCATCATCATCAGCATCATCGTCATCATCATTAGGATCATCATAATCATCATCATCCTCATCATCATCAACATCATCATCATCAGCGTCAGCATGATCATGATCATCATCACCGTCATCATGACCAGCATCATCATCAGCAGCATCATTATCATCATCCTAGTCATCATCATCACAATCATCATCACCATCACCAGCATCATCCTATTCAGCATCAGCATCGTCATCATTATCATCATTGCCGTCGTCATCATCACCAGAATCACCATATCATCAGTTTCATCAGCATCACCATTATCATCAATATCCTCATCAGCATCATCAGCAGCATCAACATCATGAAGATAGCAATGATCATAATAATCATCATCATCAGCATCAGCATCATGATCATCACCATCATCGTCATCAGCATCATCAGCATCATCAGCATCGTCATCAGCATCAGCATCATCATCATCATCAGCAGCATGATCAGCATCATCATCATGACCATCAGCATCATCATTACCATCATCATCACCATCACCATCTTCATCACCATCATCACCATCGAAAAAATCAGCATCACCATCATCATCAACATCATGAAGATAACCATCATCACCATCATCATCCTCAAAACCATCACAATCAGCATCATGAAGGTAACCATCATCATCATCAGCATCGCGATCAGCATCATCATCATCATCATCACCACCACCACCATCATCATCATCATCATCATAATCATCACTAACATCGTCATCAGCATCATCATCATCATCGTCATCATTGTCATCAGCAGCATCATCATCATCCTCATCACAACCATCATCATCAGCTTCAGCATCATTATCACTATTATCATCATCATAATCATCATCATCATCATCATCATCATCATCATCATCATCATCATCATCATTATCAGCATCATCCTCATCATCATCAGCATCATCATCGTTATCATCGTCATCATCAGCATCAGCATCATCAGCATCATCATCAGCAACACCATCATCACCATCATCATCAGCAGCAGCATCATGACCATCATCGTCATCATCGTCATCATCCGCAACACCATCATCATCATCATCATCATCATCATCATCATCATGTTCATCACCATCATCATCATAAGCATCGTCAGCATCATCATCATCATAATCATCATCATAGTCGTCATTATCACCGTCATCATCATCAGCATCATCTGCACCACCATCATCATCAACATCGTCATCAGCATCATCATCATCATCATCAGTATCATCATCATCATCATCATCATCATCATCATCATCATCAGTATCATCATCATCATCATCATCATCATCATCATCATCATCATCATCATCATCATCCTCTTCACCACCTCAACCCATCCATCCATCCATGCACCTATCCTCACACCCCGTCCCCTTCCCTCCTGCCTCCTCCTTGGTACATCCCTCCCCCCTCCTCACTCCATCCCCCCTCCTTGGCCCCTCCAGCCTCCCTCCACCCTCCCTCCTCGTCCTCCGCCGCAGGCGGCAAGCAGCGGGCAGCGGCAACCTCCGACGGCGCGGCGGGCGGCGTTCGCGGGGCGCGCGGGCCGAAAACAAAGGACACGCCGCGGTCGTTCTCGGCCTCGGCCGGCGAGGGTGGGCGGGCGAGGTGGGAGCACGAATTTGTGGACAGGGAACGAATGGCAGGGAGAGGAGGGGGAGGAGGAGGAGGAAAAGGAGGAGGAGGAGGAAGAAGAGGAGGAGGAGGGGGAGGAGGAGAAGGAGGAGCAGAAGAAAATGGAGAAGAGGACGAGAAGGCTGAGGAGGAGGACGAAGACGAACGCGAAGAAGGAAGCCAGGGAAACAGGAAGCCACGAGCAGGCCAGGGGCAGGCCGGGAGCACGCCAGGAGACAAGGATGGGTCCCCAAGAGGAGAAAGGGGAGGAAGAAGAGGAGGAAGACGACGACGACGAAGACGAAGAAAAACAAGAAAATATGAAGAAGGAATACAAAGAAGACGAATAATAACAACAATAATAATAATAACAACAATGATAAACAAAAACGACGAAGAAGAAGAAGAAGAAGAAGGGATCGACGGAGGAGGACTAAGAGGAGCAAAGAGGGAGCAGCAGTGAGGACAAAGAGGAGGACCAAGAGGAGGACAAATAAGGGCAACTTGGGAGAAGGTTAACGCAAGAATGGGCGCCGCGAGCGCGTGATCTGAAAGAGGGGAAGGGGCGGGGCGGCCAACCCAACAATTCAACGCAAAGCGCAATTACCCTCAGCGTCCCCGCGCAAAGTTCTGGAGAAGGACAACCCTGCGGCCGAGGGCGCGAAGCACAAGGCGCGGCCGCTTGCGGAGATATCATGTACGTGACCGCCCCCCGCAACCATGCGCGCACATGCAGGCGGGCGCATCGATCTCGCGGGGTCGAAGGGCGCCGAAAAAGCCCCCGACTGGCGCGCGCAGCGCGCGGCCATGCACTGCAGCAGCACGAGCCCCAATACCTCAGCTGGGAATCCGAGCCCCAAGCCAGCCTGGCCCAGGTGCACCCGCCCGATCGCGACGTAGAAGCTGGCCGGGTCGACGAGCCCGCGCCCGAACTCAACGCACAGCCACGCCCGCCGGCCCCTCGTCGATCGGTCGCAAGAAAACCTCCCGGATCGCTGAGTTCCCGCGCGCGGCCGCGCCCCAGTGAACCCCGCCCTTATTTGTCCACGCGAGAGCGCGGCGCTCTCGCGCTGCCAAGGCGGACAGTAACCCAATAACTCGGACTCCACCGATCTTCTCGGGCAACAAGGCCCCGATCGCCAAAAAAAAAATTGGCGCGGCCAAACTTGCCGAGCCACGCACAGTGAATAGAAAGAAAGCATCCAGAGGAATCATCCGATCAACTCTCACGGCCCCACGCGTCGCGCGATGCGACGCCTCTCGCAGGGCACCACAATCAAGACAAAGGATTGCTTCAGCTGACACACGCCGCCGCTCCAGGAGAAGGCCGCCCAGCTCGCTCGCCGGCTGACCAGACGGACCCCGCACTGAAACCCAGCGCTGCAATGCGTGGCCCAGAATATCCAGGATGAACGATAGCCGCTCCGTCGACGTCGAACGCGACGCTTACCGATGGCTGCTCGCATCTCGCATTGGACCACATTCAAGAGGAGGGGTCGCTTCAGCTGCAACACGCTGCCGGATCCCCAGGAGAAGGCCGCCCAGCTCGCTCGCCAGCTGGCCAGACGGACCCCGCACAAACCCAATGCTGCAATTCGAGGCCCAGACTATCTTCAGAATGAAGCATAGTCGCCCCGTCAACGTCGAACGCGTCGCTTACCAATGGCTGCTCGCGAATCGCTGGATATTACGCGCCCGCGCAGTCGGTGCCGCGTCGACCCATTACTTGAACCACGCCAGCGACCGGTTGAGCGCGCGTCGCTGAACCCTCTCGGCAAGACCCCAGCTGCTTGAGCCACGCACCGAGCTCCCCGAGGGAGCGCTATGAAACTCGCGCGAAAAACTGCCGCAATAAATCCCGAGCGGAATCTACTGAAAGAACCACCTGATGGACCACCCGATGGCCTCGCCAAGGCGCCCCCTCGCCGAACCTTGAGATGGCCCCATGCTAGGAGAAGCTGCCGCGTGCGCGCCCTCGATGCGATATCTAGCCAGGGACGCGAGAACCGCAGCTTCTCCACCAGCCGGCGATCCTGCCTCGCACAGCTACCCCCGCGCAGGCTCGGCTTCCTGCAACTGCGCCACGCGAAACTGAGCAGCGTCACCTCGCGACTTGACGAGCAAGGCCCGGACGCGACGGGAGAACGCGGCGGCCTCGACTGCCTGGAACCAGGCGGCGAACAGGGAAAAAACAAGGCCCGCCTCGCGAGCAAAACCGAGAGGCCACGGAAGGGGTAGCCGCACACGCAGGGGGCGAGGCGGCAGCAGGGAGGATCCCTGTAGCACTTCCCCGTTGGTGCCGCAGCTTCTCTCGAAAATTAAAAGCTACAGTCTCCGGAGAAGCGGGGGGGCGCGAACTCTCCCGAGGCGATGCGGAAAGCGACCCGAAAGGGGCAGCGCACGGGGTCGGGGTTGCACGCTGGGCTGAATTCCACTAACCCAGGACAAGAGAGGCAGGTGCGGCGGGGGCGGCCAGTTCGAAATTGGCCATGTGGAGCCACGGGTCGCACGCCGCAACCGATTTCACTGTCGGAACCAGGTTCGCACGCTTCCTGCTGCCCATTGATGCCGACGCTGCTGCAAAGCTCGAGCTACTCACCAATCCGCTTTGGCATCGTGACGCATGCGCGCGGACTGACCGGCAATCCCGCGCCAGATTTGGACCCTGGAACGGGCTGCCTGGAGGGGCGACCTACACCAGGCATTGTGGGGGGAAATGCCAGGGCACGAGCGGGCATCTGACTGGCTGAGGCAACGATCTCCTAATTGAAACCAGTGAACTTCCCATGGCTCTTCCAAAACTGCAGATACTTTGCGCAAGTGCGGACGGGCGGCTTCGCTCAAAACAACAGTCCATGTGCGACGATTGCGGCGCACCCCCTGGTGACAGGTAAACTCGGCATCGGAGGTGCAAACAGAGCCCCCAAAACGTCTCAGAAATCCTGACTTCTGGAGGTCGGCGCGGGGCGCGTTCCAGTCGGCCACCACGATCCACGGCAGGTGGATGGCCGCCAGCAAGCCCCCCCAGCTTGGCGAAACGCCCACGCACTCGATGGCGAAACCCATGCCTGAGAAGCCGCAGCGCACGAAGACTGCGGGCGCGAAGCCGTTCATGTCCAACATGAGAGAGCGAAGCCGTCGAGCATTCATGCTCTCTCCGCGAGCCGCGAGCAGCCCGTTGCAGACCATCGCGGGCTCCATGATCTCGGCTGGCCGGTGGTTGCGAACAAGAAATGAATCACCTCCGTCGCTGAAATGGGCTTGGTCACCCCGAGAGTAGCGCGACGTCGGCCTACGTAATGAAATAGGCGTAAATACTTGTCGATAGCCTTCCCAAGCCACTTCCGTGCGCCGCGCTTGCAGGGGTGGGTCTCGCGAACTTCTCAGTAGTCGTGCGTCCGACCGAGCTCTGCCAAATAACCCCAGGCCCTCTCGCCCATACAGGACGCGTTACCAGCGTAAGTTGGCTGCGGCTTCCGTCGACTGCCGAGTCGCCTTGCCGCTAGAAGTGCCCCCCTGGCCGTTGAAACTCTCGCCCTGACAGTTCCCCGCAGACGGCGCCGCGCTTGCAGAAGGCGCAGACGCCGACGAACTGACTACGTTGCTGCTCGCGCCTCGGCCGCGCCTCGCACCGCTGCGCGCACCTGGCCCAACGGGCGAAACATACTGAACACCAATTTCACGTGAAAGGGAAACTGAAGCACTGGCAGAGGGCACTGTAGCGGCGGTTTTTTGTCCGTCAGCTGCACCAGCACTGGCCTCCCCATGCCCAAACGCGGTTCCTTTTCCTCCTCCTCCTCCTCCTCCTCCTCCTCCTCCTCCTCCTCCTCCTCCTCCTCCTTCTCCTCCTCCTCCCCTACGGGAGCGGAAGTTCCTGGACCTACTGGCGCCTCGGCAGCGCTGTCGGCTGGAACTCCTTCGCCAGGGCCCTTGGCGTTGGCAGTCAACTCCGCCTGGGCCTTGGCTGTCGTCTAGAATTTGGCCTGAGACAACGCGGCCGCCTCCTCCTCCACGTCCTCCTCCTCGAGCTGCTCATCTGGCGGGGTCGGGGCCGAGGCCGACGCCTGGGACTGTACATTGGAGGAGGTGCCCTCGTTCGCCGCCCTGGACTCAGACGGCGCTGCGGTGCCGTCGTTGCCCTCGCGTTTCTTGCCCATGCGTTCCTCGACGTCCTCCTCGACGGAGTCGAGCTTATCCATGATAGCCTGCAGCTCCGTGCCCTTCGCCGTAAAGGACTGCTGCACAGTTCGAAGCTGGCCCTTGAGATTGCGAAGGGTTGTCTTGTCCGCCTCGTCACACGCCCACTCCTCGAAGTTATCGAAAACCTTTGAATGCATGCCGATGCTGAGGTGCACCCCATTGCCCTGCTCAGGGCCGGCATCTGATCACGCATTGACGTCTTCGGTCCGCGCTAGGGCATGGGTTGCACTTTTCGTGTCCACCCCTGCTGTGGCGAGAGTTGAGGCGGCCTGTTGTTCTTTAGATGATGCGGCCAAAATCTGGTTGACGAGCTGATCGTGCCTGTGGCTGGCGGCTTTCCACACCCCATCCACACGCTTGACCGACTCCATCTCAGAAGCGCTGCACCAGGACTGCGACTGCTGCGGCAATCGAGTCCTGCGACGTCGAGACAGCGCGGAGCTCAGAGTCTTCGCTGATACCGACGGCCTTCGCCAAAAGGCGGTCAAAATTCTTGGTGGCCTGATCGCGCTGATCAGGATGCCGACGCCGAGCCCAGCCCGCTCGCCCAGCCCGCCCTACCGATGCGTTCGGGGGAGCGACAGGGAGGAGTTAATTCATGAGGGAGGGGAATGGACGGAGGGGGAGGAGAGAAAAAGAGCCGCAACGCAGACAGGAGGGAAAGACGGAAGAAGGCCTCGCCGCCCACCGCCTCCCCTACTGGCCACACGCAAGAGCAACCCCTGGCCAAAGTACGCCTTCACGCCCGGCTTGCCGATGGTTGCGTGCGATGCAACAGCAGCGGCCTTCGCCCTCCCCGCCTCCGAAAGCCGCACACCAGGCACACCAGAGGCCACTCTGGCGAAGAGTCACTCCCGCACGGCGTGCACGGCGACCCTGCCGCGCTGACCGGCCCCCGGCGAGAGGTAGGGCGACCACCCCTCGCCGCAGGCATCTCCGCCCACTCCTCGGGAGCCCACAAAGGACGCACGCGCCCACCCACGTGCATGAACACGGCCCCCCAGTCCGCGAGAGCAGCCGCGTGATACGAATAATCGCGCCATGCGTACTATCGAAGCCAACGTGGGTTCATGTACTCCGAACTTCTTATTGATCAACCGGGGGGTGACACACGTGAAAACGCGGCGCGGACAACCCCCCATGGCACTACCGCCGCGCCCCAGCGTGGAAGGGAACGAACCCCAGAGCCCCCCTGGCACCCCCGCGGACGCGCCGCGGCCAACACCCCCGGGCACTCCAAGGGAGGGGCGATTATGAAGCGATCCAGAGTAAGCGTACGTCCATCTTTCGCTTCTCAACTCCCCCCCCCTCTCCCACGCGCACCCAGGCAACCCCAGGGGGGGGGGTCACCACTGAAAGGGGGTCGCCGCCTCCTCCAGGAAGCGCACCTCCCTCCCTCCCAGATCCCCCAGAAGCCCTCCCAAACCCCCAGAGACACCCAAGAACCTCGCTGCCCTCCTCGATTCTCGATCCTCCCTCCTCTTGGAGCCAAGGACGCCCTCGTTGGCACTCCTTGCGGCCATCGCCGGGAGGAGTGCAAAAAGACCAAAGGGTAAAGGAAGAAGAAAGACCGACCTCTCCCTCCCCTTCTGCTCCTCCTCCTCCTCCTCCTCCACCAACTCATCATCATCATCATCATCAGCAGCAGCATCATCATCATTATCATCAGCAGCAGCATCATCACCACCACCACCATCGTCATCATCATCATCATCATCATCATCATCATCATCATCATCATCATCATCATCATCATCATCATCATCATCATCATCATCATCATCATCATCATCATCATCATCATCATCATCCATCATCACCATCGCCATCACCATCACCATCATCAGCATCATCATCATCAGTATCATCATCATAACCATCATCATCAGCATCAGCATCACCATCACCATCACTATCACCATCATCATCATCATCAACATCATCATCAGCATCATCATCATCATCATCATCATCATCATCATCATCATCATCATCATCATCGTCAGCATAATCATCATCAGCATCAGCATCATTACCATCGTTATCAGCATCATCAGCATCATCATCCTCATCATCACCACCACCTCCATCTCCATCAGCATCATCGTCATCATCATCATCCTCATCATCCTCATCCTCATCCTCATCCTCCTCCTCATCATCATCAGCATCAGCATCAGCATCAGCATCAACATCATCATCATCGTCGTCGTCATCGTCATCGTCATCGTCAGCATCAGCATCAGCATCTGCATCATCACCTTCCGCTTCCTCTTTCTCTTCCTCCAAGCTCCTCCTCCTCCTCCTCCTCCTCCTCCTCCTCCTCCTCCTCCTCCTCCTCCTCCTCCTCCTCCTCCTCCTCCTCCTCCCCCCTCGGCACTGCCCGACGCACGTGGCGCAAGCGGGCGGCCGAGCACGGGCCCCGCGCGCGCGCGTCTGGGGGCTGGGCCCATCCCTGGATGTCTATGTCGGGGTCCGCCCACAGAAAATCACACACCTGGGGGGGAGGGAGCGGGCGGGAGAGGGGCCGGGAGGCGGGCGGCGGGCGGGAGGGGGGACAGTCAATGTCCACAGGAAGGATGCAAGGTCAGGGTGCAAGATCCTTGGAAGCCCCATCTACCATGTGGAGCTCCGTGGACGTCAGCCAGCGTTGGCTCAGGATGGGGCGAAGAAGCAGGAACGCAAAGGTAGCCTTGATGAAGCGGCGCATCTTCTCTATGGATTTCGACTGTAGGACTGTTTTGAACTGTTTTGTCAACCCCAAGGCTCGATCGGAGTATGCACCCGAGAAAGCCCGCAACCACCACGGGGAGGGGGGAAGAGAGGGGGGAGGGAAGAGGAGGGTCGGGTAATTTCGAGCCTGCAAGGGCCCCCAGAAAGGGCATCAGAGTCCTGGCGCATGGGAGGCTGGGCACTGGGCAGCTCAGGGTCTGGGCGTCGGGCAAGCGCAGAAGGGGCGGGGGGGGAGGGAAATTGGATCTGAATCTGGACTCGGGTGTGGAACGCGCTCGAATCGGCGAACACGCCCGAAGCAGGGGGGTCAAACAGCAGGGGCCGGAGATGGGCTGGCGCAGGGCGCGAGCGAAGGGGCGGGGGAAGACTGCAACCGCGACCCGCACAGCGCACCCCGCAGGTGCCGCGGATTGGGGCCGAAGCACCCGATGCAGACCAAAACGTCCGACACGAATCTGCTCTGGAGTGCTCCACGCACCGCGTCAGGGCTGGACCGAAACGTTGTTTTTCGTTTGGTGGTCGTTTTGTTGTTCGTCTTGCCCTACCTGTTTTCCTGTACCTCCCAACCAAAACGAAAAACGAAACACAGCCGAAGTCCAGCAAAACAGCGTTTAGGTCCAGCCCTGCACCGCGTGTGGCACACCTCACGGGCGGAGGAGGGAGGGGGGGGGAAGCGAGCGAGCGAGCGAACCACCAATGCGGAGCATCCTCCAGGCCTATCCGAGAATGGGCGGGCGAGGCAGTGGCCTCGAGGAGGAGGAGGAGGAGGAGGAGGAGGAGGAGGAGGAGGAGGGAGGAGGAGGAGGGAGGGAGGAGGAGGAGGAGGAGGAGGAGGGAGGGAGGAGGAGGACGACGAGGACGAGGCGGAACAGGAGGAGGAGGAGGAGGAGGAGGAGGAGGAGGAGGAGGAGGGGGAACGAGTCTCTCTCTCTCTCTCTGCACACATCTACACACACTAGAACCACGCGCGCTCGGGGGGAAAGCACGATGGGAGCGGGCCGCTTCGGGGCCCGCTCGCAGCGCCGGCGCCCCACAGCCCGTGCTAGGGTCAAACTCAACAAGCTCGCCTCGATAAGCCTGAAACTTCTTTTTGCAGAGCTGACACCGAAACAAACCTTTTCTTACTAGCACTGGTGCATGGCCCGCGGCAAGCAGCCTTTGCCCACTGACAACGTCAGCAGGAAGGCATGGGGCACGCAGAGGATCCGACAAGGTCAGCCTTGTTACGAGAACATGTGAGGGCCACCTCACGGCTGACCTCAAGGACGCGGCGCAAAACTCGTGAGGACAGATCACCCATGTCAGAGTTGAGCTGAACGCCTTCGGGACGGACCCCCCTCTTGCAGCGGCCACACAAGTAAAACAATCAGCACAAGCATCCAAAAAATGCTCGGCCACGCTGAGGTTCCACGCCGCACACGTCGACGACGTGGCGCTGGCCTTTGTCCAGATTAGCTCGACTCGCCCCATCCACTGTCGAGACGATCCCAGATCAGGCCCCGCAAATCCATCATCGGCGAACTCACCGCGATCGAAGCTCTAGGGCGTCTGAGGGCCCGCACGAGGGGAAGGCAGTCCGAGAGCGCCACCATATGCCCGACGGCGCGGGCAAGAAGCATTAGGTCGGGCATGTCCTCCTACAGGGGGATCTTGAAAGAAAAATGAAAATATTCGACAAATGCTCAAAAATTGGCAATAATAGTCAAAGAGTCGTCCCCTGACTATTTTTTGCGTTTTGGGGGTATTCCTCCTGTAGAGGGACATGCCCGACTTACAAGAAGGACGAGGAAGGCGAGGGGCTCCGCCCTCGGACTGCCATGCTGCGGGGTGCGTAGCGTGCCACGCAAGGCTCCGTCGAAGCGAAAATCACCGGGAGCGCCAGTCGGGCCGCTGACCGCCCGCACCTCCTCAGACGCCAACATCTGATGAACCACCAGAGCCGTCCAAACTCCAGGTGCCTCCGCCGACGACCTGCCACTCCCCGACCGAACTCGGGCGAGACGGGCGGCGGAATGCGCTCCACGGCGGCAGCCAAGGCGGGCAAACCACGGGTCCAGGATGCTGCCGGGGCACACAGCCACGGCCTTCAGGGCCTCGGAACACAGCGGCTGGGGATCATGCACGGGGCTCGCGTCAATTTCGGCGATGCAAGTGTAGAACCAAACTCTGCGCATCGTGAATTCAGACGCTGATCCGCAGCGCTCACAAGTACTAGTGGACTAATAGCCAGACGCGCCCTCCTCTCGCTTTCGGGTCATAACTCGGGTCTCTGGCGGCCGTTCGGGACGAGTCTGCCCCCCTTGAACGCTCTCCGTGAGGCGCAACGGCTGAAAAGCATCCCGAGGCTGAAAAGCCCCAGAGAGCCTACGAGACCGTCCGAAAACCTGCAACATCGATCCTCGAGCCCCTTCTCCACTCCCATATCCTCGCGTCGCAGCGGCCACCATTCCGCTGTCCGGCACGTCGCAGGGGCGGATGACGCGCTTGACTGCTTCCAGCGAAGACATCTTGGGGGAAAGGCTTGCGGGGCGCAAGAGAGAAGGGACAGGGGAGGAGAAAGAGAGAGCATGAGGAGGAGGAGGAGGAGGAGGAGGAGGAGGAGGAGGGGGAGGAGGAGGAAGAAGAGGAAGAGGAGGCTCCAGAGGCTCCGAGAACGAGGCACCAGGCTAGCAGTAAGGTAATCCGCCACCGTGCCCTTGGGCGTGTTAGAATGCTCATGTGGTCCCTCTGGGAGTGATTTGTTATGCCTTCAAACCGCCCCCCCTGAAGTTGCTCCCCAGCACTCTTTGCGACCTCCAGACAGCCAAGATGGCCTCCAAGATGGCTACCAAGACAGCCAAGACGACAACATAACGCCTAAAAATGGCCCAAGATAGCTCAAGAGTCTTTCGAGACGGCCGCACGACGTCCCAAGAGGTCCCCCAGAGGGCCTCAAGACGGCACAATAGGCCTCCAAGACGGCCCAACAGAGCTCCAAGGGTCCCTCCTGGAGAGCCCGAGGGGGCCAAAACCATTGATTGTTCCTTGTCTCTGGAGGATGTGAAGGTTCTCGCCTGTTCGGGTTCCGACCGCCCAAGACGCCCCAAGAGACATCCAAGAGGCCTCCAAGATAGCTCCAAGGCAGCCCAAGAGGCTCCCAAGATGCCCCTGAGTCGGGCCAAGAGGACCCCAATGTTAGACCCCAAGACGGCCTTGAAGCGCTCCAAGAAAGCAACTAGACGGCCTTGGGCTGTCTTAGGCGGTCAGAAACCCAAATATGCCAGAACATATGGATCCTTCAACAAACCGAAGGACAATCGATGGTGTTGGCCTCCTCGGGCTCCCCTGGAAGGCCTCTTGGAGACCTCTTGGGACATCGGGGGGGCCAATTGAGCTGTATTGAGGCCTTCATGGGAACCTCATGACCTCCAGGACGGCTTTCAAGGCAGCCAAGATGACACCAAGATGGCCCAAGATGGCCCAAGATAGCTTGAGAGGCTCCCAAGAGGGCCTCAAGACAGATCACAAAGCCCCCAAGACAGCCCGAGAGGGCTCCAAGATACCCTCCTGGAGGCCCGAGGAGGCCAAAACCATTGATTTCCTCATGCAATTGAAGGAGTTTGAAAGTTCTCGCCTGTTCGGGTTTCCACCCGCCCCAAGAGGGCCCATCAAACCTCTTAGGGGCCTACAAGATAGCTCCAAGACAGCAAAAGAGACCCCCAAGAGGGCCTCAAGTCGACCCAAAAGATCCAAAGATCGCCCAAGGGACTCCCTAGAGGGCCTCAAGATGAACGTGAACTCCCCCAAGCGGGCAACAACATTGCCGAGAGAGGCCCCCAACGCGGAATCCATAGGCGTCAGACGGGCCAAGAATCCCCTAAGACAGACCCCAAGAGGCCCCAAGAAATTTTCAGGAACTGCCAGAAGGCCCCCGGGAGGCCCCTAGAAGGCCCCCAAAAGCCTTCTCCTCCTCATCCTCACGTTCTTTCGCTCTCCTCCGCCTCCTCCTCCTCCTCCTCCTCCTCCTCCTCCTCCTCCTCCTCCTCCTCCTGCCCCTCATCCCCCACCTCCTCATCCTCCTCCTCCTCCTCCTTCTCCTCCTCCTCCTCCTGCTCCTGCTCCTGCTCCTCCTCCTCCTCCGCCTCCTCCTCCTCCGCCTCCTCTCATCCTCCTCCTCCTCCTCCTTCTCCTCCTCCTCCTCCTGCTCCTGCTCCTGCTCCTCCTCCTCCTCCGCCTCCTCCTCCTCCGCCTCCTCTGCCTCCTCCTCCTCCTGATCCTCCTCCTCCTCCTCCTCCTCCTCCTCCTGCTCCTCCTCCTCCCCACCGCACGGACGAAGACAAGGTCGGGATCACGACCCGCCCCAATGTAGACTAATCGTCGGATTTGCGTTATTCGTACACTCGGCCTCCTTCCTGCTACGCTGTTGCACAGGCGTGGTGGCGGTGTTTGCCGGAGGCAGCTGGATAAGAGGAAGAAGAAGAGGATGGACGAGGAGAAGAAGAAGGGATGAGGAGGAGGACGACGACGACGGCGACGGCGACGAGGGGGAAAGGGGGACGGAAGAGAACGCAAGAGGAGGATGGGGAGGAGGAGAACGCAAGAGCTGTCGGGGTGGCCCCAAGGCCCCAGCCCTTGCAGCAGAACCGACCACCGCCACGCTGGCCTTCTAGTGCCTACCAGGGTGACCCAGGTCGCCAGGGCTGGACCCGCCTCGAAATCCTGGTCGGAACGCTTTCTGGGATAGACCGGGGCCAGTGTGGCGATTTTGAGAGAGGGAAGGATGAGGAGGTCGACGACGAAGAGGAGGACGAGGGAGCAGGATGTGGAGATCGAGGATTCCAGGGCCCAGGACGAAGATGAGGAGGACGAGGACGAAGAGGAGGAGGACGAGGAGGACCGCGAGGAGCAAGAAGAGCCAGAGGCGCAAGAGGAGCAAGAGGAGCAAGAGCAGCAACTACATGAGGAGCAGGAGGAACAGGAGAAGCAGAAGGAGCAGGAGAAGGTCCTCGCCAAAGATCCCCCCTCCTCTGTCCTGCCTGCATCTGCCTATGTCTCTGCCGCTTGGTTTCTGCCGACTCCGTCCCGTCGCGACCAGAGAAAGGGTACACCCGGGAGGACACAGGTTCCGAGGGCAGCGTGGAGCAGACAGGCCACATTACACGTGCTTCGAGAAGACAACGATTGGCAGGACAGAATGGCACCCTTGACTTTACAAGGGCGATGTCTGTCTGCGTTTCCGCTCGTCCGCCAGACCGTCCACCCACCCGTCCGTTCGTTCGTCTGCGTTCATTGCCTGCCTCCGCCTGTGCTGGTCTGCTGGTCTGCGACTCCACAAGCCTGCGTATCCCTCTCTCTCCATCGCTCACGCTCCCTCCACACCAGCTCGCGACACCGACGCGGCCCCGGACGGGGCAGCACGCCAGCGTCGTCGGAGCCCACATCACGCTTCATCGGAGCCCCCTCGGGCAAGACGCGGGAATCTCGCTGCGGCGCACGCAGGGAGGAGGAGGAGGCGGAGGCGGAGGAGGAGGAGGAGGAGGAGGACTAGGAAGGGTTTTTTCTCTCTCTCTCTCTCTCTCTGCGTCTCCCTTTCTCTTTCTCACCTTGCGCCTGCCCGCTCGCGTGCCAGCCTGTGACTGTCCCTGTCCGCCCCTCCCACGAATACCTCCGCCCGTCAGTGCCCCGTCCTCCCATCCCTCGCTCCGCCTCCAGAGGGCAGAAGACAAGCCCTCACCCCTCCCTGCCCTTCCCCCTCGCTCCCCTCCCCTCCATCCCTCACTCCCTCCCCTCCCCTCCCTCCCTCCCTCCCCTCCCTCCAGTCCCTTCCCTCCACCTCTAGAGGGCAGGAGACAGACCCTCACTCGAATAAGCGGCCCTGTGAGCGAAGCCCCATAGTAAGCGCACCTCGAAGAGGGAACCGACCAAGACAGCACCAATTAGTAAACGACCAGGACTGTCGAGTAAACGCTGGTTATGGGGGTGGGATGGTGTTTCCTAATGCGGAGAAAGATACGAAGGGGAGTAGAAGCAGGAGGAGGAGGAGAAGGAGAAATGGAGAAAGAGGAGGACGGCGAAGAAAGGCTCGGAGTTGCAAAACGAATTCACGTCGTTCCTCCTCCTCCTCCTCGTCCTCCTCCTCTTCCTCCTCCTCCTCCTCCTCGTCCTCCTCTTCCTGCTCTAACTCCTTATCGTCCTCTCTCCCTCCCTCCCTCCCTCCCTCCCTCCCCGCCTCCTCCTCCTCCTCCTCCTCATCCTCCTCCTCCTCCTCCTCTTCCTCCTCCTCCTCCTCCTCCTCCTCATCCTCCTCGTCCTCCTCCTCGTCCTTCCTCTTCCTCATTCCTCCTTCCCTCCTCCCTCCTCCCTCCTCCTCCCTCCTCCCCTCCTCCTCCTCTCCTGCTCCTCTTCCTCCTCCTCCTCCTCCTCCTCCTCCACATCATCATCATCATCATCATCATCATCATCATCATCATCATCATCATCATCATCATCATCATCGTCATAATCGTCATCATCGTCATCATCGTCATCATCGCCATCATCCTCATCATTATCAGCATCACCATGATCATCATCATCATCATCACCATCATCATCATCATCAGCAGCAGCACCATCATCAGCATCGTCATCACCATCATCATCAGCATCACCATCATCACCACCATCAGCATCACCATCATCAACATCAGCATCAGCATCAGCATCCTCCTCATCATCATCCTCATAATCATCATCATGATCATCCGCATCATCACCAGCCTCATCATCGTCATGAACCTCATCATCATCAGTAGCAGCAGCAGCAGCACCAGCATCAGCATCAGCATCAGCATCATCATCAGCATCATCTGCATCACAACCAGCATAACCACCATCATCATCATCAGCAGCAGCATCATCAGCATCCGCATCATCATCGGCATCATCAGCGTCACCATCATCATCATGATCAGCATCATCAGCCGCAACAGCATCATGATCATCAGTATCATCATCACCACCGTCATCATCATCATCATCATCATCAGCATCATCATCATCATCATGAATCATCACCGTAATCATCATCATCACCCAACATCATCATCAGAAGCAGTATCGCCACCACCAGCACCATCATCAGCAGCAGCATCATCAGCATCTTCATCATAATCAGCATCATCCGCATCATCATCATCATCATCATCATCATCAGCAGCATCAGCATCACAACCAGCATAATCATCATCATCATCATCATCGTCGTCATCATCCTCAGCATCATCATCATCATCATCATCCTCATCATCATCATCATCATCACCATCATCCTCATCATCATCATCCCCCTCCTCTCTCTCTCTCCTCCTTCCCATCCTCCCTCCCTCCCTCCCTCCCTCCTCCCTCCCTCCCTCCCTCCATTCTCCTTCCGTCGTCGTCCTTCCTGTTTCCTCCTCCCCCCGTCCTCCTTCCTCATCGGTCTTTCCTCCTCCCTCCTCCCCCTCCTCCGCCTCCTTTTTCCTCCTTCCCCCTGCCTGTGTCTTCTTCCCACAATCCTCCTTCCCCCTTCCTCCTCCGTTTTCCCTCCTCCCTCCTCCTCTTCCTCCTCCTCCTCCTCCCCCGCCTCTTCCTCCTCTTCCACCTCCTCCTCCTCATCCTCCTCCCCCGCCTCCTCCTCATCCTCCTCCTCCTCCTCCTCCTCCTCCTCCTCCTCCTCCTCCTCAGCATCATCAGCATCATCATCACCAGCAGCATCAGCAGCATCATCACCAGCATTATCACCAACATCATAATCAACATCAGCATCAACATCAGCATCAGCATCAGCAGCATCATCAGCATCATCAGCATCATCAGCAGCAAAAGCATCAGCATGCGCACCCCCAGCATCAGCAGCATCATCACCACCAGCACCGTCAGCATCCGCATCATCGTCGACTTTACCATCATAATCAGCCTCATCATCATCAGCATCATCATCATCATCATCATCATCATCATCATCATCATCATCATCATCGTCATCATCATCGTCACCAGTATCATCAGCATCAGCATCAGCATCATCGTCATCAGAATCAGCATCATAGTCAGCATCGTCATCGACATCACCAGCATCAGCATCGTCAGCAGAATCCGCATGAGCATAATTGTCGCCAGCAGCCGCATCACCATCAGCATACCCAGCATCAGCAGCAGCATCATCACCAGCAGCATCGCCTAAACATCATCATCAACATCAGCATCATCACAATCAGCATCAGCATCACCATCGTCACCATCAGCATCACCATCCTCACCATCATCATCCTCATCATCGGCAGCATCAGCATCCGCATCATAAGCATCGCAATCACCACCATCAACAGCATCATCGTCAGTTTCATCATTCTGATCATGAGCGCCACCCTCACCATCATGAGCATCAGCATCCGCAGCAGCATCAACACCAGCATCGTCATCATCGTCATCATCACCATCATCACCATAATCAGCATCATCAGCATCAGCATCATCGCCATTGTCATTATCGTAATCGTCATCGCCGTCATCATCAGCATCATCATCCGAAGCATCATCAGCAACACATCAACAACATCAGCGTCAGAAACGACATACCTCATTACATCATCGGCATCATGATCACCCGCCTCATCATCAACATCATCATCAGCAGCAGCATCAGCATTAATATCAGCACCAGCATCATCATCACCATCATCACCATTACACTCACCATCATCATTATCAGCATCATCATCATCGTAAGCAGCAGCATTATCAGCATCAGCATCAAAATCATCATCGGAAGATCGGGCACTTGTTCAGCACTCGCGGGTCGATGTGCTGCTCGCTCCCGCCATCGCTCCGTGTTGCCCCTCTGGATGCACCTCCTTGTCCCTGTTCTGCTGCGAGCCGTGCTGGTCATTCCTGGTCGAGCTGCTGGCGCATTTCTCCGAGTGCCTGGGCCGGCTGCTCGAGCGTCTCCCGCCAGTCCGTCCGAGGATCGAAATCTAGCTCCGCGCCACCATGTTGCGATCTACATTGGTATGTGATGGAAAAACTGTTCCTCTCAAGCTCCTAAGCCGAAGGCTACGGAACACGACACGTCACACCATGCTCGCCTACGCCTTGCCTTGCATATAAAGCACAAGCACCTAACTATCATGAGTAGCATTATCATTATTATGCCGATGGATATTAGTCACAATAGTAGTAATCGTACTATTACCCTGATTCAGGTAACATTCCTAATATTAGTATTGTTCTTGTCCGTGGTATGTTTCTTCTCCTTATTCTTATATTCGTAGCGTCGCATTACTATTCTTGTTAATATCATTACATCGATTTATCATTCGTATGATTGCTATGATTATTCTGATTAGTTGTACTAATGATATTAATCGTTATCATTTCCTCCTCCTCCTCATCATCATCAGCAGCATCACCATGATCATCATCAGCAGCAGCATCAACATCATCAGCATCATTATACTGATCATCATCACCATCATCAACATCAGCACCATCACCATCATCATCATCATCATCATCATCATCATAATCATCATCATCATCATCATCATCATCATCATCATCATCATCATCATCATCATCATCATCATCATCATCATGATCATCATCATCAGCAGCATCATCATCAGCAACAGCAGCATCATCATCCTTTTACTGCCCGCCCTCCTCCTCCTCATCATCATCCTCCTCACCCTTCTCCCTCCCTCCCTCCCCCTCCTCCCGCGGGCGGGCGGCGCTGGGCGACCTCTGGGGAGAGCCCGCCATGGACGCAGAAGATCTTGTCGTCTACAGTCTCGCGCGGGGAGGGATGAGGGAGGAGAGAGGAGTGGGGAGGAACTGCAGCTCCCCTCGTCGTGAAAAAAAACACCACGGGAGGTTTTTACCATTTTTCGGCCTCTGGGGTCCTCACAACGACTCGGGATGAAAAACCGGTCCACGGGTAGGGGTCGAGATCTCCGAGGGTCCGATGGTGAAAAAACACGACGTCGGAGTTCTAGGGTTCGCGAATTGCTCCGTGTCCCCGCTGCCCGAGCAGAAACGACGGAGTGCAACGAGCGGGTGGCGACTGCGTGCAGCGGCCACCCCTGTCACTCTGCACGGCCCTGGCTATCTCACCAAGGCCACTTCGGGGCAGGGCCTGGGCATCCCCCTGACCCGACGGCATTATTACGTTCACATTCTGGCGCTTTTCCTCGCGTTCGGCCTCTGCGGGCCATCCTCCGGCCTCGGGACCATCAGAAATGGATCTGGGGCGGGCATTGATGAAATCACACCGTCGGATGTCTTTGGGCCCCCGAGGTGGCACCAGGGGCAGAGATGCGCGGCGCGTGCCCTCGATCAAGATGAGGGAAGATCGAGCTGGTCGATGAGAGAACGTCGATGCAGCTTCTGTTGTCGGCATCGCGCGAACGTTTCGCCCCTTGCGGGGCTCATCTGAGCCAAACCTGCCCACTGACGGTGTACATTCAGAAGGGTATGGAAGCCGTGCCCTGCCCCAACAGGCGTGCAAGAAAGGATCGTGGAATACACGTGCCTGCCTGCCTGCCTCCCCTTCCCTTCCCTTCCCTCCCCCCACACCCCATCCCACACCACCCTGCCTTGCACCCCTCCCCTGCCTCCCCCATTTGCCTCAATCCCCCCGCTGCACTGCTTCTGGCGGGAGGCAGTCGTGCCCACAATCCGTCTCCCCGCGTGGTCCGAGCGGCGCTTCCCAAACCTCCCTGTCCCCTATTACCTCTCGCTTCCCATGTCGATCCCTCCCTGACCCCCCCCTCCCCCAGACCCCGCTCGACCCCCCTCCGCTGCCTTGTTTCCCTGTCCTCACCTCCCTTTCCCTCCCAACTCCTTTTCTACAGTCGGGCTGCTGAAAGAAGGAACGCTAAATAAGGAATGAAGCCCCTCTGTGGCTTCAAAAAAGCCTGGGTGCACGAGAAAGGCTAGAGGAACAACCACGGAAGGACGTAAGGAACATCGAGCCCCTTCCGAATCCAAACTGCTACTTATTTCAGCGTCTTGGCTGTATTCAGCTCCCAGCTCCCAGCTCCCCTCCCCCACCACGTTTTCCCTCCTCCGATACGCCGCCCCCCCCCAAGTCGCTCTACACCACCCCCTTCTGCCCCTCGGCCGCTCGCGCCGCACAGAACGGCAGTTTGTTGAAGAGGTCACAGAAGACCTTCCAGATCTGGCGGGCCGCCGATGCGTCGGGCGTTGCAGATGGAGGAAGAGGCAGAATCGTCCAAGCATCACCATCATCATCATCATCATCATCATCATCATCATCATCATCATCATCATCATCATCATCACCACCACCATCATCATCATCATCATCATCATCATCATCATCATCATCAGCATCATCATCAGCATCATCATCATCATCATCATCATCATCAGCATCAGCATCATCATCATCATCATCATCATCATCATCATCATCACCACCACCACCACACCATCATCATCATCATCATCATCATCATCATCATCATCATCATCATCATCATCATCATCATCATCATCATCATCATCATCATCATCTTCATCATCATCATCATCATCATCATCGTCATCGTCATCGTCATCAGCATCATCATCAACAGCATCATCATCATCATCGTCATCGTCATGATCATCACCACCCGCACAATTACCTTCACCACCAACATTAACAACATGATCCGCACCATCAGCACCTTCGTTATCACCCTCATCATCAGCATCAGCATCACCATCATCACCATCACCACCATCATCAGCACGTTCATATGCACCTTCGTCCCGATCCGGATAAGCAGAGGCAAAGCACGTGCCCTGGATCGCGCGAAACTCAACACGACGCCCAAATTCCCCCCAAGAAGACGGCAATCACGGACCGCAACTCACAAGAAACCAACTCTAGCCAATCTTTCGTGGACGGTCATCTTCTTCCCCCGAGCATGGCAAACCAGAACCCTCCAGCCCTCCTCGACAAGACCTTCGAACGGTACCTCGGGGAAGGACGAATCCTGATCCCCATGTTCAGAGAGTTCCTCCAACGACGGCGGCGGCGTGACAAAGACAAGCACGCCGACGAGGTCGAAACACGAAAGAGAGCAGCCACGAGGCTGGGCGGCATCAAGGCGAACGAAACGCGCCCCCTCCTGTACCCTGGGGAGCCGCCCAGGTACAAGATCTGACAGCCGCACAAGATCCTGGCACGTCTGGGCAAGAAACGCACGTAATAACTATAGGCGTCTAGCTGCGGTTTCAATCAGGGCGTAACAAAGGCATAAGGTACATGAACGCCTGGGCTTGTTCGCAAACCGTCAGCCACAAAGGCGCGTAAGAGTGTCGAACTGAACGCGCGAACTTAGAAGACGAAGCGAAGCAGGCCAGCAAAGGCCGCTGCCACATAGCCAGGCAGGCGACGTGGCCCAAGAAAAACTCGAGCCTTGCCAGCAACCTTCTGAGATTCAAGGATGGCCTCGGGATCCACGGCGGTTCTCCCAGTTGCACGCCCCAGCAAGACTGAAACAACCCAATGAGGCATTGACTTCGACCCCAAAAGCCTCCCGAACCTGACCCGCTTCATGAAGCCCATAGGACTGCACCCAGCTGGCATCCATGACGCCTCTGATGCGATCCAGGGATGTCGCCTAGAACACAAGACTCGTCGCCCCCCCGAAACGTCCGCGGTGTCCAAACAAACGTAGAAGACGGGCGGGGGGTTCTTACCTAAGTATGATGAGGCCGGTTACTGTCCTCCAAGGACCCCGCCCTTCCCACCCCAGCCGCTTCGCACACCAGGCGTGCATGTTCACGTTGATTCGAGAAGACAGACCAGGAGAAGCCCATGGAGAGCACGGCCATGGAAGCCGAGACGAGACCATTTACAGGAACTTCCTGCCCCGAGCACGCGCTAGATCCAACTCCCCAACTCGCACAGGGGCGAATGAAATAATCACCAAGCGTGTTGTCTATGCCAAACATGCGCGAACAGTTGTCGACGTCGACATTGAGCGAAGTCTCACACAAATCCACCACCCCATCTTCGACCTCCTGCAAACGAGCGAAACCCCCTGGAATCGCCAACAAAGTTTCTGGATGAAGCCGCGCGTCGATAATGAGTCTCCGTCGTCAACTGTTTTTCTCATAACGAAGAAAGGAATGGCGATCACTTTTGGCGCGGTCGACCATCTGACCGAGCCTCGAGCGCGCAGCCTCTTCGGAAAACGCGCGTACTCGCGCCGTCAAGCGCGCAGCTTCTGGTCAAAATGCGGGTTGCCAAACGCGCTAAACTCTCTCACTTGCATCACTTCTTTTACCTCTCAAATCATGCCCCCCTGGAAACCCTCCTCGGCGCCCGTCCTCCTCAGACAATCACTCCTGCGAAAGATTCCAAACCCGGATCCCTCCCGGCAGCGAGACGAGGTCACGGTCGAACCGACAACGGCGGAGGCAGCGCGATCGCAACCAGACCTGCTCTGGAGGAGCTCGCGAAAAGCTCCGCCTTATTCAAAAAAATCCAGGCTGGAGGCTGGTCAGCAACGCGCCCGTCAACAGAACTTTGAATCTGGCCGAGCACGGACTGATCGACGATGGGGCTCTGAGCTTTTAGTCGTAAAGCCAACCGAAGCCATTCACCACATTCCCGAATTCGCGCGATTGATGGCACCCGAGTTTGACTCTCCACCTGCATCTCCTCGAGCGCCGCGACGGAGAAGGAAGACGTTACTCATGAAGAAGCAGAGGCACTTGCGCCCTCCCACCTTCGTCGCTCCAGCCTGCAAATGTGCCGCGGGCATCACCAGTCCTCCTTGTCCCCATACTTTCCATCATTACCGTTCTTCTTACCACGACAGAGCGTGACCTTGACCTCATCCCTCAGAACCTTGGCCCCCCCCCCGTCTGCTCGATCGCCCACCTCCGTTGCCGCGAAGGTGCGAAGCGCGAAAGCAATCATCTGCCGGCGCCGACCATGCCCAGAACACTTTCCCGCAATCTCATAATTGGGGTTGGACGGTTTGGTGCCATGCGCCTCTACAGTAGCCTGCCACCTATACCCGAGCCGCTCGAACGGTCACAGGTCACAGCCAAACTCGAAGAGCTCCGTCATCAACCTCATTTCATGATAGAAAAGAATGGTCGTTTTCGCTCCAGCCCACCGTTTGCGAGTCTCGCCAGCCAAAGAGACGGCGCCATCTGAAGCTGGGCGAAGCACATCATCAACCACAAGAGAGCATTGGGAACATTGAAATCCCCACCTCTGATCAACTCATGCGCAGCGGTTGGAGGGCTTCGCCGCCACTGAATCCGCCGACACCTCCGTACCTATGCAAACCACCTCGCGATCACCAGCGAACTGAAACTCCGAGACCACCCAGACCATGTCAACCTCGGGCCCGTCAGCGACGCCCGCGGCCGCTAGAGGTGGAAGAGGTGACGGCGAAGCCCAAGCAAGCTGGCCTAGAAGCAACCGAAAATGCCTCACATTGAAACTGTCGTCGGACACCCTGCACTGACCAACCTCCTGGAATCAATTGCCGATGATGGCTTGCTTCGCCTCCGCCCTGAGCGCCTGGAACTAGACCCAAGAGACGATCCCCTTGAAACGGTAGAGCGGTCGAGGCAGAGCACCTCCGCCAGCACGGGCCCGAAGCAGCACGCAGGGAACGTGACCACAGTTTCCAGTCATCTCAATAACCTCCGCATCACCGTCGAAGTCTGGGGATGATGTACTCTTCACGCGAGAAACGTTCTCTGACTCGACCTCTCGTAGAGGAAACCTCCCATGTCCGTAGCCACATACCTCATATCAGGCTACGACGTCTGCGCCAGGAACTTCTTCATTGTAGTCAATGATCACTGCTCGACTCGGCCACGACCTTTTACTCGAGGAGCTCCGATTCTCCTAGGGCAGCACTAGCGCGTGAGAACCACGCCGCACACTACACCCGGCAGCATCCCAACGAGGCCAACTAACACGGGCGTTCGCGATGAACAGAGTCTTGTTGAAGGAGTCGGCTGGCACCTGGCACACTAGATGCGACGGCGGTGGCGGAAGCGAGCAGACGCAATCTGGCACTCTCGGACGATCCTGCAGCCGTGAACAATAGTAGAAGTAGTCGGGACAACCCTGTAAGCATCGTCATCAGCAGCAGCTGCAGCAGCAGCTTCACCATCATCATCATCATCATCATCATCATCAGCAGCAGCAGCAGCAGTATTATCAGCATCAGCATCATCAGCAGCCTCAGCATCATCATCATCATCAGCATCATCAACAGCATCATCAGTATCAGCATGATCATCATCATCATCATCAGAATCATCATCATCAGCAGCAGCATGGCCATACTCGAAAACATCAGCATCAGCAGCAGCAGTAGCATCGTCATCAGCATCATCATCGTCATCAGCATCAGCAAATTTGACATCATGACCATCATCATCATCACCGTATTGATAAGAAGAAGAGGAACCATCATCATCAGCATCATCAGCATCAGCATCATCATCATATCATCATCATCATCATCATCAGCATCATCATCAGCATCGTCATCATCATCAGTATCATCAGCGTAATCATCATCAGCATCATCATCAAAATCGGTATGGGCCTCAACCTCACCATCATCAATATCAGCCGCAGCAGCGTCATCACCATCCGCGTCGTAATCAGCATCAACATCATCATCATCAGCAGCATCATCAGCATCATCAGCATAATCATCATCCTCATCAGCAGCAGCATCAGCATCAGCATCAGCATCAGCATCAGCATCAGCATCAGCATCAGCATCAGTATCATCATCAGCATCGTCAGCATCATCATCACCGTCATCGGCAACGTCATCAGCATCCTCACCATCATCATCATCATCATCAGCATCGTCATCATCCTTGCCGTCAGCGTCACCAACTCCCACAATAACAACAATCGCGGTAACACGAATAGCAACAACGATAACAACAACAACAACAACAACAACAACAACAACAACAACAACAACAACGACAACGACGACAGCAACAGCAACAGCAACAGCAACAGCAACAACAACAACAACAACAACAACAACAACAACAACAAGGGCAGGGACATTCCCTGGGCCCCAGCGCTCGGGCTCCTCCAGCGCTCTCCTCCTTTGGGGGGCAGGGACCCTTCCCAGGCCCCGGAGCGTCCGGGGACCCCCC